GGAGGCGTGCCGTGGTGGTGATGCTGATGCCGTAGCGCACCGCAATTGCGGATAAGAGTGAGGGGGCGGGCGCGGGCGACGCGGGCGTCGTCGAGCCGGCGGACCTCGTGGCCCCCGCCTTCCTGTCGTGGCGCTCTCCTCCTCCTCCTCGCCCTCGTCCTCGTCCTCGGCCTTGTCGTCATCGTCATCCTCCTCCACCTCGTACTCCTCCCCCTCCTCTTCTTACTCGTCCTCCCTCCCCCCTCGTCCTTCGCTGTCATTCACTGTCCCTGGGTGCGTGGCTGAAGTAGGACTCCACGGTGCGGATTATTGCTGTTGTCGTTGTCGTTGTCGTTGTTGTTGCTGTTGTTGTCGGCATTGCTGTTGATGTTGTTGGTGTTATTGGTGTTGTTGTTTTGTTGTTCGTTGCTGTCGGTGTTGATGGTGTTGTTGTTGTTGTTGATGTTGCGGTTGCTGTTGTTGCGGGTGCTGCTGTTGAAGTTGTTGTTGTGTTTGGCGTTGTTGTTGTTGTTGTTGTTGGTTCGTTGTTGTTGTTGCTGTTGGTGTTGTTGTTGTTGTTGTTGGTGTTGTTGTTTGTTGTTTGTTGTTTGTTGTTTGTTGTTTGTTGTTTGTTGTTTGTTGTTTGTTGTTTGTTGTTTGTTGATTGTTGTTTGTTGTTTGTTGTTTGTTGTTTGTTGTTTGTTGATTGTTGCTTGTTGCTTGTTGTTTGTTGTTTGTTGTCGCCGCCCCACCCGCAACCCGCCCCGCGACCCACCCGCGACCCACCCCGCGAACCGCCCCGCGACCCGCCCGCGACCCACCCGCGACCCACCCGCGACCCACCCCGCGACCCATCCCGCGACCCACCCCGCGACCCACCCCGCGACCCACTCGCGACCCACCCGCGACCCGCTCGCGACCCACCCCGCGACCCGCCCCACGACCCGCCCATCGACCCACCCGCGACCCACCCGCGACCCGCCCGCGACCCACCCCGCGACCCGCCCGCGGCCCACCCCGCGACCCGCCCGCGACCCACCCGCGACCCACCCGCGACCCGCCCGCGACCCACCTGCGACCCACCCGTGACCCACTTTCGACCCAAACCACGTTCAAGGTACAAACCACCATTTTTGGCGCCTGCGGCTGGCTTTTTTTACATTCCTTCCAGGTGGAGGCCCGCAACCCACCCCGCGACCCCAACCACGTTCAAGGTGCAGGCCGCATTTGTCGGCGCCTGCGGCGGGCATCTTTTGCAGTCGTTTCAGGCGGAGAGCCCGCGGCCCACCCGCGACCGCGTTCAGGGTACAAACCACATTTTTCGGGTGCGCACCAAGTGTTTCGGCGCCTGCGGCGGGCTGGGCTGCTATTGCATTCCTTCCAGGTGGAGGTGGAGGGGGCCCGCGACCCACCCTCGACCCAAACCGCGTTCTCTGAACAAACAAATGCCGCGCAAGCACGGCGGCGCATTTGCGCATGCCGTCTGAGCCCGCAACCTCTTCAAGCTCCGCAGACAGTCCAGCAACTTTGCCCTGGCGACTGGCGAGTTGCCTTGATCAGAGAAGTCGGGGAGCATAAAGCGGGAAACAAGTGATTGCGTCGTCGCTATCTTGGGAAAAGGAAGGGGGAGAGGAGCAAACAGGGGGCGAGCGGGGCGCGGAAGAAGAGAGGATGCAAGGAAAACGTCGAGAAAGAGGAGGAGGAGGCGGAGGAGGAGGAGGGGGATAAGGAGGAGGAGGAGGAGCAGGAGGACGAGGAGGGGGAGGAAAGGGGGAGGAGGGAGGAGGGGGAGGAGGAGGACGAGGAGGGAGTAGGGGGGGAGGATGATGATGGACATGATGGACGACAATGGGAGGATGGGAGGACGATGGAGGCCGATGAGGGGGAGGACGACAATGGGAGGACGACGATGGAAGGACGAGAGGGGGGAAAGGGAGGGCGAGGAAGAAGAGGAGGAGGAGGACGAGGTGGAGGAGGAGGAGGAGGAGGAGGAGGATGACGATGAGGACGAGGACGAGGACGAGGAAGAGGAGGAGGAGGAGGAGGAGGGGGAGGAGGAGGAAAGCGCCACGACGGGGAAGGTGGGGGCCGCGAGGTCCGCCAGCTCGACGACGCCCGCGTCGCCCGCGCCAACCCCCCTAACTCTTATCCGCAATTGCGGGGTGAGATCATTCTCCACCGTCGGTGGCAACGCGCAGAGACGTGTGACGTACGTGAACCATACACATCATCACCATCGCCTACGTCGTCAACCATTTGACATGGCCATAGCCACCGCCACCACCACCATCAACATCATCTTCATCATCGTCATCATCATCAGCATCATCATTGGCATCACCATTATCATCATCATCATCATCGTCACCATCGTCATCAGCATCAGCATCATCATCACCACTGTCACCATCATCAGCATGCTCATCCGGCGCGGCGACGTCGCGCTCTTTTTGCGCCGCCGCCGCCCCCCAGTCGCTGCAGCCGCCAGCACGGCGCCCTGGGCCGCGACTTGCTGGAACAGGCGCCCCGGCGCCTGGCGCGGCGGGGGGGGGGCAGCGAGGCGCAGCGGGTAGCGGGCCCCGTTGTGGGCAGTAGGTGGCGGGAGGGAGGTCAGCTCAGGGAGGGCGAGTGGGGAGGGGGGGAGGGGGGATTATGGCGAGAGGATGGGAGCAACAAAAATAAGTAAAGGGTTAGGAAGGAAGTAAGGGGGCAAGGGGGTAGGCAGGAGGCAGGAGGCAGGGATGAGTCGTGGATTCGTGCAGGGGTGCATGTGGCGTCGGAGCTGATTGCATTCCTGGTGATGTGAGTCGCGCGGGCCGTCGCCGCGCCCGGCAGGTATTGGCGCAGAGAGACGGTGAGCTGGAAGCTGCGAGGAAGCAGATTTGACAACTCCAGCAGCTGGTGCGCCGGCGGGACGCTACCATAGAGTGGTTGATGCAGGGCCCTGAGGATGGTGCTCATGTGAATGCTCCTTTCGAAGCAGAGAGGGGGGGTTATCGTCTCACTCTGAAGGGCAGGCGCGCAGTGGGGCTCCGGAGAAATCTCTCGAACATCGGGGCAGCTGATCTCGGTGCGACGATACTGGAGGATCTGTCCCATCAGGCTGTCATCAATTGCGAGCGTTTGCTCTCTGCCGCGTGGGTTGCTCACTCGAGGGCGTTCCATGATGACATGGAGTCATATGTTGCGACGCCTCCTCTCGGCGGCCTCACCCATCACCTTGGCGGGCATTTCTTCAGAAGCGACGCGACCAATAGCAGCGTGTGGCAGCGTTCGAAGATACACAACACTCAGCTGAGATCGGTGTACCTCACAGACTACATGAGAGCCAACATGAGTGATTTTGTGCATGCTGTGTCCACGCACTCGTCTCTAGCCGACCTGGCGCGAGTAGTGGACGGATCTGGTCTTGGCACATATTCTCTTTTGCAGAAGCAGCTTTCATCCCTCGGGTGCCCGATGTGGAATTCCCCCCGGCCGGTGGGTTACCAGTGTCTGAAGTGGTGGGTGTGCGCGTCAGACGGGGGGCCAGATCAGACAGTATACAAGCGACTTGCTGCGATGGAGATTTCGAATAGCCCCGCCGATTTTCTCATCCCCGTGTTGTGCATATGTCACTCGATGGCCCTGGGCGCCAAGACGGGGCTGACTCTGGCAGATTCTTGGGCCAGGCGTTTGAACCGCAAGTGGAAATATTTTGCCTCACTTGCCAAGTTGACGCACTGTTGGCGGGAGTTAGCAGCAAAAGTGCTGGTCAAGTGGATTGAGTTGTTCGGCCACAGGGCGGGCATGCAGCATGCTCGCAGACTTGTGCCGCAATGTATTGCTGGCCGATGGTTGTCTGCGTCCGGCACTGGAGACCGCCTGAGGCTGTCCGAGGGCGGGTCGGGCCCGAGGGGCCCCGATGGGGCCCGAGGAAGCGGGGCGGGCAAGAGCGAGGAGGACCCCTCTTCACTCTCGCCCGCCTCGCTCTCGCCCGCTTCGCCCCCCCTCTCCTCTTGAGGAGGGGAGGGGAAGCGAGGGATGTAGGGGTGGCGGGGAGGGAGAGCGACGGGTGGGGAGGTGGGCGGGGGGTGCCCGTGGCCAGCCAGGCTGTCTGGCGGCGGCTTCGACGGGCAGCTGCGCGCGGTGATCTCTGCCGTGCTGACGGACGTCGACAGAGACGAGCGCCCGGCGCTGCTCGACGCGGGGGGGGCGGTCGAGCCTGCGCCCGCGCTGGCTGGCGCCGCGCCCGCCGCGGCCCCGGCAGCAGCGGCGGCGGCGGCAGCGGCGCCGCCAGCTGTCCTTGATGCCAAGCACGCAGATGAGTTAGATCTTCGGGTGGAGGAGATGCATGCGCATAAGCAGAAGATGGGGCAATGGAGACGTGATGCGTTGGATGTGATATCTGACCCTGTGTTTTGGTATATGATTGACACTATGAGCACCAGCCGCGTAGTTCCCAATCACGCGCAGACATTCATGCAAAAGGCTGGCGCATCGTGCAACCAGGACTCGGTAGATGGGGGCAATTGGCTCAGCTCGTTGAGGGTCGCTCCCACGATTTTCAGAAGCAGTTCTCAGATCAATTTTCTGGGTACGACTGGGCTGGGACGTACGCCAAGATGAGCCGGGGCGAACACTTGCCTATCAGCGTGGTGTTGGCAGACTCTCTGTTGTTATTCACTATGGAGGAAGGGGGGGGGGCTGCGCGCGGCTTCCTGATCTGAAGGGGTAGGCTTCTTCGGCTGAGGGGAGTCGGAGAGGAGGCGAGGGCGCCCCACTGTGGAGAGGAGGTGAGGAGAGGAGGTGATGGGGAGGATGATGAGGGTGCCCCATCTTGCCAGCCTACTTCCCATCCTGCTGCTTCGCTTTCTTGGCCACAGTGTTCACTCACTCGCAGCGCGATCCAGGGGCCCCCAGCTCGGTAAGGTTTCCAGGGGGACTGCGTGTCTAAGCGATTGCTACCGCCCTGGGCCCCCGGGCCTGGTCTCCAAGCCGACCCCGCCCGGACGTTCCAGAGACTGCCTGCTTTTTCGAGCGGCCTCGAGCCCTGGCGGGGCAGGAGGCTCGGAGGGGTTCTGATCCTGGAGCCGTCCGTCCAACCCAGCCCCTGCGCCCCTCGCTCGGCTCGCTTGCTCCCGCCCCCTCCCGCCGGCCGCAGGAGCTCCTGCGCCGCGCTGCCTCGTGCCACCGCCGGGTCGCCAAGCCCCTGGACAGGCAGCGCGGCGGCAGCCGCGCCTCCTTGCGGCGGGGGCTTGGGAGGAGCAGTCTGGCAGAGCAGACTGCATTGCGAATTCGGATGGAGGGTGCAGGATGAGTAGCGATGGTGATGGTGATGCTGATGATGATGATGATGGTGACGATGATGATGGTGAAGATATCGCTAAGGATGATGGCGATGATGATGATGATGATGGTGATGGTGATGATGATGGTGATGATGACGATGATGATGATGGTGATGGTGGTGATGATGGCGATGATGATTGATGGTTGATGATGGTGATGTGGAGGAGGAGGCGGAGGCAGATGACGAGGATTGTGAGTTGGACAAGGGTTTGACGAGGAGTGGAGAGGTTGAGGAGTTGAGGAAGTGTAAGCGTTCAACCCGATTACCGATTACCAAGAGTGCCAAGAGTTGTCCTGTTGGCGTCTCTGCTAACTGCCCCCCTGTCCACTCGAGCGTGCAATGCTGGCAGGTTCCCCTGCCAGCTGGCGCGTTTCGCCTACCAGCCTCATGGCCACCCTTGTCCTGAGAGGACGCGTACCCTCACCCCCGCTGCCGCTGCCGCCTTGCGTTTGGCCGCCGCTCGCCGTGCACTCCCACGCGCCCGCTCGGCCCGCTCTCTCCTCTGACGTCGCATCTCGGTCGCTCTTGTTAGCCAGTCTGCTCGCCAACGTGGCGCAGGGACTCGGGGAGGGGGAGCGATGGCGGATAGGGGGAAGGGGGGGGGAAGGGGGGGGGGGGGAGGGGAAACGGAGACGGACACACGGACAACCACGCGACCACGGTGCTCCGGAGGAGAAGGACGTTGAGCAGTTAGCGATGAGAGGAGGAGGGCGGCGATGAAGAAGAGGAGGGCGCTATCGGCGCGCTCCAGGGCGTTGGAACTTGTTGGAACTCGGCCCTTGCCATGGCCCTAGCTGGCCGTCGCCTCCGTTTCCACGCCGCTTCCTCCTGCCCCGCCTCGCCCTCTGCATCCAGCATCGCCGGCCGCCGCCGATGGCGTCGCGCCGGCCGCCGCGCCCCAGGTATCGCGAGGCTTGTATGTGAGTCGGACAAGGGCAAGCTCGAGATCAACGCTGCGAAGTTCTTCGCCGCGTTCAGATCTGATGTTGAGCTCGCCGCTGCTACGGGGCGGGTCGGTTTCACGGCGTGGTGTTTCACGATGGTGTTGCGCGCATTCACGTTTGCCGATGTCCAAGGAGTGCGAAGGCACTGACTCCTTGATTAAACGCATCGCAACCCAGTGCCCAAATATTGGGCTGCCCCCATTATCATCGAGAGTCCAAATCAAGAAGGCTTTGGGCTTAGGGGCCCGCGGGGCGTCTTCCAGGTGGAGCCAGATGCGAGAGCGTGCAGAGTTAGTGCTTGACCAATACTTGGAATGCTGCGAGACGGCCAAGCACGCGTTGACAGATATTTCACGTTGGACGCAGCCAGAACGAGCACACCCGATCGAGTGGTCTAGTCACAAAGCGCAGCAGTTCCTGGACCCTGGGGCTTGGAAGCCAGTGGTTGGCCTCAAGACGATTGCTTCGTATAATAGTCTTCTACACGGGGTGTTCAAATCTATTGACTGTTCATGTTGTTTTTCGTATCTAGTTGACCCACGTGACGATGATGCTACATGTGCGGTGGGGGCGTGTGTTTACATGGTTGTAGAGACTAACTACCAGGAGAAAACATCGGCGCGGTGTCGGGTCCTCTCAGATGATGACAGGTACGGCCAGCATCGGTTGATCGCGCTTGAGTTACCACTTGCCCTTGTGTCTTCGTTTGACTTGTTGGCTGACCTGAAAGACCAGTTCATCGATGCAACGGACGCCCAAGTGGTGTTGTACGGCCACGCCATTCGGTGGCATTGGGAGGCTAGCTTTCGCTGTGAGGAACTTGCCCAGACATTTCGCCCCATCGGCTCCATAGATGCTGGCCTGAGGGCATGTGCGCTGAGGAAGAGGACTGCTCGGCGCAAACCCCTCGCACTCCCTGGGCCGGCTGAGGGCGACGGAGGAGGAGGTGAAGGCGTGGGCGCAGGTGGGGTAGGCGACGGCGGCGGTGGAGGAGGAGGAGGTGCCAGCAGCTCTGGCGGTGGCGGCGACGCAGCTGGCCACGACGATTATGCTGGTGCGCTCGACGGGCCGCTGGACGCAGACGCGCTGCATGGCCTCAAAGTGATACTTGGTGCAGCAGATGAGGAGCGCGTCATTTTTTTGAGTGCGAATGCGTGCAGCGCGCGCTTGCAGCGCGCGCAGTGGTGAGACCGAGCGCACTTACAATTTGTTGCAGCACGTTGTTTGGCTCCGCAGAGTGTGCTT